TAATGGATACTACTTCTTCTCAATGCCAAGTTAAAGTAGTATTCTGTCCAGCTCATTTCTTCAGCACAAAATACTGATCGTGAATTGTTGTTTTAAGTAACATGTAATTAAACAATGCAGTATAACTCTTGTTTTTTCTCTGTACCATTTGTAATGTTTCTGAGGCCTCTCTGACTTATGTCATTCACTCAAGAAAATGGACTCTTTCAACTTGTTTAGAAAAGGATTCTCCCTCTAATGAAATTTCTGATTAGTTGAAATCTCATATTTGCAGATTAAAGAAACCGTCGAGGAGACTGTAGGTGTTGGCAAAGGAGCTTCTAAAATGTATGCAACTGTTGATTTGGAAAAGGCAAGAGTTGGAAGAACCAGAGTCATTGAAAATGAACCGAGCAATCCTAGGTGGAATGAGTCGTTTCACATCTACTGCGCTCATATGGCGTCAAATGTTATATTTACAGTCAAAGATAACAATTCCATTGGTGCAACCTTAATTGGAAGAGCTTATTTACCTGTTAATGAACTCTTAGAAGGGGAAGAAGTTGATGAATGGATTGAGATACTGGATGAAGACAAGAATCCCATAAAAGAAGGTTCTAAGATCCATGTGAGGCTACAGTTCTTTGATATCAGTCGAGATCGTAATTGGGGACGTGGAATAGGTAATCCTAAATATCCTGGTGTCCCTTATACTTTCTTCCCACAGAGATCAGGATGTCGCGTTTCATTGTATCAAGATGCACATATCCCTGACAAATTTATTCCTAAAATCCCTCTCTCGGGGGGTAAATATTATGAACCGCATAGATGTTGGGAAGATATCTTTGATGCGATTACAAATGCAAAGCACATGATTTACATTACTGGCTGGTCTGTATATACTGAAATAACCTTGTTGAGAGACTCGAGAAGGCAAAAGCCTGGAGGAGATATCACACTCGGAGAGCTGCTGAAGAAGAAGGCGAGTGATGGTGTTAAAGTCCTTATGCTTGTATGGGATGACAGAACATCTGTGCGTCTGCTGAAGAAGGATGGTCTTATGGCCACTCATGATGAAGAAACTGAAGAGTTCTTTAAAGATACTGACGTGCACTGTGTACTTTGCCCTCGGGATCCTGATGATGGTGGAAGCATAGTTAAGGATTTGCAAATCTCTACAATGTTTACTCATCACCAGAAAATCGTAATAGTGGACAGTGAGATGCCCAGTGGAGAATCAGACATGAGGAGGATTGTGAGCTTTGTTGGTGGCATTGATCTTTGTGATGGGAGATACGATACACCTTTCCATTCACTTTTTAGAACACTGGACACTGCACACCACGATGATTTCCACCAGCCTAATTTTGCTGAGGCTTCGATTACAAAAGGTGGGCCTAGGGAGCCCTGGCATGACATTCACTCTCGCGTTGAAGGACCAATTGCTTGGGATGTTCTGTTCAATTTTGAGCAGAGATGGAGAAAACAAGGCGGAAAAGATATTCTAGTCAACTTAAGAGAGCTTGACAATGTTATCATTCCACCATCTCCAGTCATGTATCCAGATGATCCTGAAACATGGAATGTTCAGTTATTCAGATCTATAGATGGTGGGGCAGCTTTTGGTTTTCCTGACACACCCGAAGATGCAGCAAAAGCTGGTCTAGTGAGTGGCAAAGATAACATAGTCGATAGAAGTATTCAGGATGCTTATATCACTGCTATTCGTCGGGCAAAGAATTTCATTTACGTTGAAAATCAGTATTTTCTTGGAAGCTGTTACGATTGGCAGTGTGATGATGTGAAAGTGGAGGAGATAGGTGCTTTGCATCTCATTCCAAAAGAACTTACATTGAAGATCGTGAGTAAGATTGAAGCAGGGGAAAGGTTTACAGTATATGTTCTGGTTCCAATGTGGCCAGAAGGAATTCCTGAGAGTGCATCTGTACAAGCAATATTAGATTGGCAAAAGAGGACAATGGAAATGATGTATAAACATATATTCCAGGCTATCAGAGATAAAGGTATTGACGACCACCCCAGGAATTATTTGACTTTTTTCTGCATTGGTAATCGGGAGGTGAAGAAGAGCGGAGAATATGAACCTTCAGAAAAGCCAGAACCTGATTCTGATTACGAGCGAGCTCAGGAAGCTCGTCGCTTCATGATCTATGTCCATTCCAAGATGATGATTGGTGAGTTGTGGTTTGCAAATTTCTATTCTATCTTAAACTTGATTATCTGAAATATGGAATTTAGATGTCTTGAATATGGCGAGAAAAACTTTCAGGTTTTATAAGCTCCTTGAAATACTTGAAGGATTTAACATGGTAAACAATCAAGTTCTTGATTTGTTTGTTTTGATCAAACACCAATCCTTAGATTTACAAACTACAAGAGACATAGACTTTCTTGCATAAGTACTGCATTAAGTTACACTCAGAGACGGATCCAAGATTTGAACTTTATGGGTTCAAATTCACAATCTTACCACATCGCGTCTAATTTACTGGGTTCAAACTCTATTTTTGCATTTATAATAGCTGAATTTTTAACACATATACAGAACCTGAACCTGTAACGTCTTCATTGGCTCCCGCCCCTGGTTACACTTAGAGGTGGATCTAAGATTTAAACATGATAGATTCCGCCATGCATCTTTCTATGTGGTTTAGTTGAACCCGTTGAGTCTATGTTGCATCGATTCCTGCTTATGCTAGCATGATGCTAGTAGCATCGCGTGATACTAACTTAGTTTCTTAACAGTTGATGATGAGTACATCATAGTTGGATCAGCCAACATAAACCAGAGGTCAATGGATGGTGCAAGAGATTCTGAGATAGCAATTGGAGCGTACCAGCCTCATCATTTAACGACAAGGCAACCAGCACGGGGTCAAGTTCATGGTTTCAGAATGGCATTGTGGTACGAGCACATGGGTATGCTTGACGACACCTTTCAACATCCAGAAAGCGAGGAATGCGTGAGGAAGGTGAATCAAATAGCTGATAAATATTGGGATCTGTATACAAGTGAGAGCCTAGAAAATGATCTGCCTGGTCACTTGCTCCGATACCCCGTTGGACTTACGAACAATGGGGATATCACGGATTTGCCTGGAAATGGAAATGAGTTCTTCCCTGACACTAAGGCCAGGGTTGTTGGTACTAAATCTGACTACCTTCCTCCTATCCTCACTACATAAGTGGAAAAACATGTTGGCTAGTTACCTTAAGAGAAAATAAACACATAGTATATCCCAAGGAAACTGCAGTTTGTAGTGGGAATAACAGATGGTTTTTTGTCTTATAGATTTCTAATCGAGGGATGTGCATCTGAGATTTGATGAGGCTCCTTGTTTTAATTGTTGTTTTTGTAGATGTTTTTCAGATTTGTGTACGTGTTCTGAAAGGATTCTAGTATTAGATTTGCTTTCTTTGGAAATTTAACACTTCGTTATTTTCTTGTTGAACTCATTGTCTTGTTAAGTATACCACTACTACATTGCATCTACATTTATTTTTTGCCGAAATATTCATCCATTTTAGGTTCTTAATTTTATAATAACAACTATCTTCAACATGCGTGGACCTGAAATGACTATGCATAGATCACCTCTATTTGTGTGGTCCGTTCTAGTGATAGCGTTCTCACTTTTATTATCATTTCTGGTACTGGTAGGGGCAATTACCATGTTATTAACTGATCGAAACTTTAATACAACCTTTTCTGATCCCGTTGGAGGGGGAGACTCCATATTATACCAGCATCTCTTATGGTTCTTCGGTCATCCAGAGGTGTATATTCCAATTCTACCTCATGAACAAACTGACTGTATGAATCGTGATCAATCATCAAACCAAAACAGCGGCCCAAAATGGCGTGATCAATCATCTAGCAATAACAAAGTCAGAAACTCTAACAAGAAGATTCAGAAAAATACAAGAATGTCACGATTGGAATTCGAATCTATGACTTAAACGCAATTTATGAATTATCTTTATCACCACATTAGAAGTTTCTAATATGTCAAAAGCAATTTATGAATTATCCTAATCACCATATTAGAAGTTTCTTTTATGTCAAAAAGATTTAATGATTTACATATATAAAAATAATGTGATGCTCTGTATGAACACTCATCCAAACCATGTAAGTCCACCCTTCTAGTCAACCAAAGGTGTACTGAATCTCGTGACTTTTAGGAGTTTCTCTGCACAGGTGTCTAAAAGTTTAAGGCAGTAAGTGACATGTAGATGTGAGATTGCATGCAATCAAAAGGCGAAGAAATAATCAGCCAAGTGGCCAAATTTCAAAAGATGGTTTATTATTTGCCCACTTGGCTTATTATTGGATGAGCCTCACCTGTCATTACCGCTAGGAAGCAGTTAGACTGACACGTGTCTATTGGACGTTTATTTTTATCATCACCAAATTCTAGTATTTCCCTAATCCAATCAATCGTGGCATTTCGCTTCAATTATTAACGTACCACGTACTAATTGTAAAATTGAGAAGATTAATATTAGTGAACTAGTGTAATCATCTTCGTGTTCTCCTTTTTTATCACGGACAGGGCCTACCACTGTCTTAATAGAGCTCTATTAAAATACAAAATTGGCCTGTTAGTTAAAATTAATTGAAATTATTAGTCGAAAAATATATAAAATTTATTTTTGGTATATAAAATTAATATTTCTAAAAACGACTAAATTATACATTTCTCCTAAAGTTCACCGTTACTTTCAAATTCCATAGGTACAACAGAAGCAGACAACAATTAGTGGCTTAGAGGGATGACAATGAAGATTTAATTTGACTACTGCAAATATTATCCACAAAAAACGAGAATCAAAAATTTCAAATTCTTTTTTTCCAAAATATCAAATCACATGCAACGAAAGGCGCACAGCAATCTAAGAATCAATTTCGTCTGATTCTCACCTCAAGTGAACCAAACATTTCCATTTTATTGTTTCTTTTTGTTCCTTTTTCCTTTCTTTGAATATATCCTCTAAATTTTGGTGGCATGAAAGAACTCTAGATTCTAACACCATAGCTCCGATCATAAAATGCCTTTAGCAGAATAGGTGCTGATGTTTTTGCATTAGATAAAACTATATCTTTTCATTAATGAGTTTTATTATCTTTGTAGTAATACTTTGGCTCAAAAAATCTAGAATTTTCTTGTGAAATCTAATAGGAAATCTTTTCCCGTGATACAAGCTGCTACGTACTATAAAGTAGTTCATAACTTGAAGAGTAAAATAGTAGAGAGAACTTCCACGTCTCCAACTCTCATCACTTCTTTAATTTTCTTCTTCATCTTAGATTCTTTTATTCATTCAATACTTTGTGGGGATTGTGTAGACCACCAAAACAATAAAGCAATTTCCATTACAACAACTTTGACTATCCTTTATTCTCTGCCTTTCGTCTCTCTTTCCCCTGCCGTGCGGTTCATTACTGAAAGCAATATCTGATTTCTAAATCCAACACTTGGAGATAAACTAATCCACTATTTTATCTTTCCTTTCTCTATCTGATTCCTCTTTTAGAAAGGTTTTTAAAAAGTCGAAAGAAATCGAGAGTCTCACGACTATTATTATTTTATACCTCAAATTATATTGAAAAATCTGCACCAACTCCAAATTCATTATTTGTTCATAAGTTGTGGGCTTTACACATATAAGAGTTCGTACTTTAACTAAACCACCCACTAATTTCTTCTTACGCAAAAACTTTTACTATAAAATATTGAGACGCCTTTCTTTGTAAGTCAACTTTCTTGCTACATTTTAGACCATCAATATTTCTCTCTCTTTAAAAATTTGTATTCAACCCCACCAACATCATCGATCATGTCAAGTATGTTGGGTTCACAAGGCTTGGTTTTAGCAACAGCCATGGCTGTCTCTGCCGGTACCGTCATTCTACTGGATCTTTTCCGGGTCAAGTACTCCTCGACCCATCTTTCCGTTCAACAAGATCACTCTCCACCTGAAAATCAGATTCTCAAATCTTGTTTATCTTCAGGTAATACTCATATTTAATTTTCTCTTGGTTTTCTTGAAAAATTTCCTGGTAATTCTCGTTTAATTTAATCTAATTATAGTTCTCGCATTAATTTCAGCTGGAAAGAACAAGGACAGAGCAAAGAAGAAAAAGAAGAGAGTTCATTTTGCAGCTGATGTGAAATCTTCAAGTGGAAATGGCGAGGAGTACAGAAGAGAACACATGAGGAAATATACAGAAACTCGTATTAAATCTTGTGGGAATGAGATTGTGGGTATGCCAGGTAATAGATTGGCTTTGTATACTGGGATTCTCAAGGATCGGGTGCAACGCATGGAATACTCGTATTGATACAATTGTATTTTCGTTTAAGTTCGTCTTGTTGCGATGCGAAACGGAGAAATATAATTAGGGGGAAGAAAATTTTAGGCTTTCCACTGTAACTTTGTAAATAATGGTGTGAAAAGTTGTGTCATGGTTTTCTGTAGAGTTTTTAGTCAAAATTGTCCCTCATCTTTTGGGATAAGTCTAACTTTGTCCTTTATCTATTAACCTGAGCACCTATAGTCCTTTAAGTTTGTTAAAGTTGAGCGGGTTTAGTTCATTTAACAAAAGACCCAAAAGGTGACCTAAAAACTAACAGTGGTTTCACTGAGTCAACCGGGTAAAGAAAATTTCAGTACTCAAATTTTGCAGAACCGATGTAGTGAACCATAAGAATTCTTTTTTGTGTTATTTTGTTTCAGAATTTCTAAACACGAGTAAGGCGAGTTTCCAAAGTAGGCAGGAGCAGTTGTAAAGTATATATACAGCATATCCTCATTGATAAACTTCACAGGATATCGATTTCATCGTTAATCTGGAGATGCAAAAAAAGTAATTTTCTTTAGTTCCTTCCTTTGTCCCTCTTCTATTCTCTTTCAATCTCAAAACTTAGAAGAAAAAAATGATAGAAGGCAAGTTAAAGTTGCTGCTAAAGGCAAAGGCCATGTATAGCGGCAAGAAAAGGAAAAGGTGGCTATGATGATGTTAAACAAATTGGGGAAAAATGAAATTGGGATTTCAAAGAATAAGAACAGTCCGGTCAAAATCTCTTTTTCACCCATTGACGTCAATGACTCATGCATTTTCTGTTTATATTAGGATTAGGACTCTCCATTTGATATTTTTTTAGGTAGACTAAACCTGCTCAACTTTAACAAAAGTTAGACTTACCCCAAAAGATATATAGACAATTTTGGCTAAAAACTTGTTTTCTGTACATGAAATTAGGAACTCTTTTATATTTTCTTTGTCTTGAATTCTCTCCCCTTCTTATTTTACGATTTTAGACTATAAGTTTTCACCTTCTCAGCTTTCTTTTTCCTTCTTAGTTCCACTATCAACGTCGTAAATGGTAGGTTTGTACTAGTTTTATATTTTGGCGTTGTTCAATTCCTTTGATTTGCAAAAGATAATAAGTGTGTGTTTGGACAGATTTCGACGTGAAGAAAATAAAATTAAAAATACAAAATATTTGTGATAAGAAATATAGTTATACGGGCGGCCCAACAAGTTTTGTGGCCTAAAGCCTAACTTTATGAGGGGCCTTAACTTTTTTTAAAAAAAAAAAAACAAATTGATTATTTATTTATTTGAAGTTTATTTTTCTAGCGTTTCTTAGATGCGAAGTTATTAGTAATTTTCTTATAATCAATAACTCCTAATAAGTCTTTCTTAATATAGCTAATTATTTAACCTTTCTTGAGACATTGATGATTTAGGTAAGATTTTATCAATTTTAATTTTGAAAACTTCTTTCCGTTGAAGCGACGGTAACAAGAGTTATTAACAATATTCCATAAGAAATATAGGCATTGCAAAAGTATCAAATCTTTTTATTTGACCGAATGTGTAAATTAAACTGCTATCGTCTAATTGCACTATTTTTCTTAATACTTTTAATTCCAAAAATAAATCTAAATCATCAATATCGAATTGATTATTATGCTTTAAGGAACATTCAAGATTAAGGTAATATTTTTTTTAAATTTCCATCATGTAGGGATCTTAATTTTTACCGCTAAATAGAAAACCAAAAATATTTTCATATTCTTCGAATTGTTCAAATCTATTTTGAAGTGAAAAAAATAACTTTGTCTACTATGTATAAAGTAATCAACTCCAAAGGACTCTTCGAAATATTTTGAGATTTTATTATCAATATTCTCATAAAATTATTACTTCCTATATATCACACGTTTCTTATGAAATTCGAGTTCGATATTCATTTCAAGTGCAATTTTCTTGGTAGAAATCATAGCATGCAGTTGCAAATCCTTCTTCTCTATACTTGTTAAAGAAAGAAATCAAACTTTTTCACTTCACGGAACCTTTTTTTTAACTTATACATAACCTATTAGGCGTAAAAAAAAAATGGAGCCCTCCCAAATGTGGGGCCTAAAGCAGTTGCTTTACTTGCTTTATGGAAGGGCCGCCCCTAATACAGGTAATAACCCAGCTTTTGGCCAATATTGTCTCTTATCTTTGAGGGTAGGTCTATTTTGGTTCCTCAAATATAATCCTGAGCATATTTAGTCTCTTAAGTATGTTAAAGTAGAGCACCTTTAGTCTCATTAACAGAATTTGTCCAAGATCAATTACGGGGTTGGTTTCGGCACTCACCGTCATTTTAATTTACTTATCAAAAATATTTTATAAACCAACACCCACTAATAGTACAAAGCTGATAAATTTAAGATTTTAACGTTGAAACTTTTACTTTTAAAAATTTCGGTTGATTTTTCCGAACAGAAAAGTAAAACTTTGGAAAAAATAGAGCTGCCAAGATCACTTCTAGGCATATTATTAAAGCAAACGAATAACCAGATTGTATTATCACTTTTGGCCCACGCCAGAAACTATTTACATCTGATAGCCGAAAAAGTATATAAAATTGGGGTGTGTGTGTGTGTGTGTGTGTGTGTATATATATATATATATATATATATATATATATATATATACAAATTTTGTACATTTTTCGGCTATTATTTTTACAGTGGCTATACAGTGTCATTTTCTCATTGAAAACTGGCACAGAAGAGGATATTTTCAAGGCCAAAATTTTAGAAGGCATTATCTAAAAAGGAGAAATTAAAGTGATAATTTGCGCTATCCAATAAAAGGAGAGGAAACATTTCGCATCATAGCAGAAGATTTACTTCATGAATCGGAGTTGGTTAACACCTTTAGTTTTTGAACACATTCTGTTAGTGATACTAAAGGTGCTCCACTTTAGCATACTTAAGGGACTAAATATGCTCAAGGTTATATTTGAGGGACCAAAATAGAGCTACTCTCAAAGATAAGGGACAATATTGATTAAAAACTCGGTAATAACCCATGGAGAGGAAAACCGTCGTTGCTGCCGGTCGGCGGAGGTATGAGTTGCTTATTAGAGTAGTTGATAGTATCTAAAGTAATTTTTTCCCCCACCGCAGATAGCATCTAAGTATACTTTCACTTAGAGACGGATCCAAAATTTAAATTTTATGAGTTCTGTGGTAGTATTTTCAAAATAATTGTGTCCAAGTGTTAACCAAGTGTCAATATGCATGTAAAGAGTTTTTACATTTGGCAAGCCTTCAAGAAGTTATGGACAAATAGCTTATTTTGTCCAAGTGTCCTCTTGCATGTTTGTTCATGGACAAGTGTTAAACCACTTGTCAAGATTATCATTATTATTCTTGCCTATAAATAGGCACTCATTCCATAATGATGATACAACAAGAAATGTTTTCTATTTCTAATTCTTCTCTCCCTTACGCCTTTGTTATGTCTTTTCAATTTAGTTGGTCTTATTCCTTTTACTTATTTGCTGGATTTGAAAATTAATATTTTGCTGATTCTTGTATCCTCTAACTAAATAGAGGTGGACTTGTTTAATCCTGGGAAAATATTTCACATTGCTGAAATAGTTTCTTAGGACAGTGCCCAGCACGACTCAAGCCAATTAGTGTACCTGCTTAAAAGCAATATTATTGCAGTAGTATTATCGTTATTTTTCGGTGTCATTTCCCTACAATCTAAGAAACTATGGCAAGTAATACTACTTCGGAAATTTTTGATGGTGCTACCAATTTTGGTGTTGTCTCTACTACTACTGTTCCAGCTGTCCTGCCAGATATCCATGGTGTTGCAAATACGTTATTGCATCCACAACTTTGGGAGACACTAATGTGAAAACATAGGTATGTGAATAGACATGGTTACATATCCAATGCTAATATTAAACCTTCAAGAAAAATGCACCTCAATGCAAGAGAAGACTTGGGATAAATGATAATCTCGCTAAGTCAAAATTAAATTTGACTAAAGCGAATAATATAATTGTAGCGGTCATTTTCCAAATAAATAATGTGGTCAATATGAGAAATTGGGTGATAGACTCTGGTGCTACTAGACACATTGTGCAGACAAAAATGAATTTTTGTCTTACACCCAAATTGAGGAAGGAGATGAAACTATTTATCTTGGTGACTCAAGAACAGCTCGTGTTCTTGGGAAAGGAAAAATTCTTTCCAAACTCACATCTAGTATAACTCTAGCATTGAGTGATGTATTGCATGTAACTAATATCCAAATCAATTTGATTTCTGTGGGGTTATTAAGAAAAGTTGGAGTGAAGGTTTCCTTTGAAAATGATGAGGTCGTATTGACCAAAAAATGATATTTTTGTGGAAAATGGATATTGTAACCATGGTTTATTTATGCTTAATATTTCTGATACTAACAATGAAAATGCATCTTCTTCTGCTTATATGGTTGAGTCTATTTCTTTATGGCATGCTAGACTAGGACATGTTAATGTCGCGTATATAAAGAAAATTCAATCACTAGGATTAATATCTGGTTTAGACTCAAATAATATTAACAAGTATGAAATATGTGCTGAAATTAAAAGTACTAGAAAGACTTATTTTCTGTAAATAAAAAAACTCAATTATTATCTTCGATTCACACTGATTTAGGCAATTTAAAGCAGACTATGACTAGAGGTGGTAAAAGATATTATGTGACTTTTATTGATGATTTTTCTAGATATACTAAGTTGTGTTTACTTGGAAATAAAGATGATGCATTTAATGTTTTTATTTCTTATAAAACTGAGGTTGAAAATAACTTAGTAGGAAAATCAAGAGAATTGGATCATATAGAGGTGGAGAATATTTATCTTTAAATGATTTTTGTGAAAATAATGGAATAATTCATGAAGTGACTCCGCGTTATTCACCTAAGTCAAATGGAGTAGCTGAAAGGAAAAATAGAACATTGAAAGAGATGATGAACTCTATGTTAGTTAGTTCTAATGCTCCTGATAATTTGTGGGGTGAAGCTATATTATCTGCATGTCACTTAAAAAATAGAATACCACATAGAAGAACTGGAAAAACTCCTTATGAATTGTGGAAGGGTTATAAACCTAATTTAATATATTTAAAAGTGTGGGGGTGCCTTGCTAAAGTTCTTTTGCCTGAACTTAAAAAGAGAAAAATAGGTTCTAAAACTGTTGATTGTATGCTTATTGGATATGCTGAACATAGTGCTGCATATAGATTTCTTGTTTTAAAAAGTGATGTGCTTGATTACAATAGTATAATTGAGACAAAGAATGCTGAGCTCTTTGAATATATTTATCCGCCGTCTGATAAAATTTCTCATACACCTGTTAAAACAAATAGTGAAATTACCTCTAATGAGGAACTGAGAAGGAGCAAAAGGCCTAGGAAAGAATATTTTTCTTATGGAAATGATTTTTAAACTTTTCTTGTCAATAATGAACCATAAAATTATTTTGAAACTATATCTTCTTCATATGCTAAATATTAGAAAGATGCAATAAAAGTGAAATCGATTATAATACATGGATTTTAACTGATTTACCTCCTGGTGCAAAGCCTATTGGTTGTAAATGGGTTTCCAAAAAAGAAATTTAATTCTGATGGATCTTAAGATAAATATAAAGCTCGGTTAGTAGCAAAAAGATTTTCTCAAAAATAAAATATAGATTATTTTAATACATTTGCACCAGTGACTAGAATTTCTTCTAGTCGAGTTTTAATTGCCTTAGATTCAATCCGTATGCTTTTTACCCACCAAATGGATGTCAAAGCTGCTTTTTTGAATGGTGATTTAGAAGAAAAAATTTATATGGTTCAACCCGAAGGTTGTGTCATTTCTAGACAAGAAAATAAAGTTTGAAAATTAATTAAATCTCTTAATGGCCTTAAACAAGCTCCTAAGCAGTGGTATG